ATTTTTTTAAAAATAAAATTCATTTGAAACCTTAATTCAATTTATTATCAAATTTTATCAAGTATTTTCTAAATTTATTTTGAGGAGCTACTCCTATTTTCTAAACTTTTAAAAATCCATTTAAATCTAATTATGAAAAAATAATTTAAATCTCAAACACATTCAATTAAAAAAAAGACAAAATACCCTTTTTAGTTCTTTAAGTTTACCCCAAGGTCCATTTTGGTCCTTTATCTAAAAAAAGTGTCAAACTGGTCCTATAAATCTTTCAAAAGGACCACGTTTGTCCTTTCCATCCACTCCGTTAGTCATGTTTAATGACAGCGCTTATGTGACATTACACGTGTGTTTAGAAAAATTGCATGTGGCAATTCCACTTACAAGTCAGTTTGACACTCATCAGTTTCATTTTGAAACAAAGATCAAAACATTTTTCTATTTTTGTTGGCAATTCCACAACTGAGAAGACTGAGAAGGTGAAACGCGAGCAAGCAGAACGTGAGCGAAGACAAATTCCTCATTCAAAACATTGCATGTTTCCTTGAAGGTGAAACCAGACTTCTCATCAGAGGTAAGTTTCTGCAAGAATTCTATTTTCATAGTTAGGGTTTCCTTGAAATTCGTCTCCCTTCTCTGAAATTCATCTCTCTATTTAGGGCATTGTGTATAATGGAGGAAATTCTTAATATTACGATACACCACAGTGGTCAATTTGTTAGTGAGGACTTGAGTGTGTACGAAGGAGGTGGAATTGCTGATTTGAGAGTAGATGCTGATATGTGGGGTTATTTTGAGTTATTGGGTGCTATTAAGGAACTAGGTTACCCAGCCATAGAGAAGATATACTATAGGGATCCAACTGCTGGAATGAATCTGTTGTTTGATGACAAAGGGGCCTTAGAGATTGCTGATCTATATAGGGTTCATTTAAGTGTTGAAGTCTTTATTCAACACCCATTGTCACAGCCTGAGTATGTTGATGAGAGTGGAGTTATTTTAGATGAGACACCCCTGAATGTAATGGAAGAGGATGCAGTTAGACAAAATGAGGTAAGTGAGGATGCAGTTAGACAGAATGAGGTAAGTGAGGATGCAATTAGACAAAAATGAGGTAAGTGAGGATGCAGTTAGACAAAATGAGGTAAGTGAGGATGCAGTTAGACAAAATGAGGTAAGTGAGGATGCAGTTAGACAAAATGAGGTAAGTGAGGATGCTGTTGGACAGAAGGAGGCAAGTGAAGATGTTGTTATACAGAAGGAGGCAAGTGAAGATGCTGTTGGACAGAAGGAGGCAAGTGAAGATGTTGTTATACAGAATGAGGCAAGTGAAGATGATGTTGGACATAAGAAGGCAAGTGAAAATGCTGTTGGACATAATGATGATGATAGTTCTGATGATGATAGCTCTGATGATAGTAGCTTCAAGTATGATAGTGCAAAGGAGGTTGTATTTGATGATGAAACTGATGAGTGTGATCTGTACCAGTGGCATCTGTACCAGTGGCATCTGTACCAATGGCATATGTACCAGTGGCATCTGTACCAGTGGCATCTCAAGCATCTAAGTCAGTTCCTGGTCAAGCTTCTCAGCCATCTCAATCTAAATCATCCAAAAAGTTGTCAGTTAGAAGGCCAAATGCACCATTTGTCCCACCAGGTCCAACAACGAGGTTAAAGGCATCAAGAACTGTTGTAGGTCCAACAACAAGAAGGACAACACCAACTAAAAGAGCAGCACCAAAGTGAAAACTTTAGTTTACTTTTATGTCTGTTTTGGATTAGGATTGGACCTATAGTTGTTATGTTGTTTTGTTAACTTGTAATACTATAATTGGTTATGTTAAGTTGTTTTGATCATGTAATATCAAGCTGATTTGTTTTTTTTTTTACCTGTAATATCAGGCTGTTTTGATTGGACCTGTAATATCAGGTTCTTTTGTATGCAACTTAGTGGTATCCACCACCTTATAATTATATGTTGTTACCTATCTTCAATTGCTACAGTATGTTACATTGATCAAAATGCTACTAGTTACAGTATGTTACATTATGTTTTACATTGATACAAAAATGCTACTAGTTTTACAGTATGTTACATTGATCAAAATGCTACATTGATACAAAAATTGCTACAGTATGTTTTACAGTATGTTACATTGATCAAAATGCTACTAGTTCAAAAATTCAAGTTGATACAAAAATTCAAATTCATAATGATACCATGTTCAAATTGAGACTGTGTTACATATGATACTCTATTACATATAATCTCAATTCAACAGTCTATTACAACATCATCCAAATTACCACAACTAACATAATAAAGAAGAATCTTTTCCATTTTTTCTGAGAATTCATCATCTTCTTCATTTCAATTTGTAACTCCATTATCTTATGTTTCAGCCCATCCTTCCTTTCCTTTAGATGATGTATCTCCATCTTTGCTCCATCAAGCTCATTTTGCATCTTCTCCAACCTATTATTCTGCTTCTTTATAAACTGATCCTTCTCATCCACCACGTCATCAAAGAACCATTGAAAGTATCCACACCCAGATTCAGATGATCCCTGTAATGGTGACATCAAGATTCATCTCAGCTATTGCAGGAACTATCAGAACAAGAATATATGAAAACCCATTTTAATTTCATGCTTACCTTGTAATGACGACAACCCCAGAATTGCTTCCCAAAGTTTGTGACAGTGGTAGCCCTTCGAAGAACCGCAGATTCTCCACAACCACATATAGGTCTCCATCGCAACTTTCCATCTAAGCTTCCATCTCTATTGCAATCGTACGAAGACCGGATCTCTGATGATGCTTCCTTCATCATATTGAGGGAATTTCAAATTCAAAATGGGAAAATTGAGATGCAATGTGTGAACCCTAGAATTTGAGGATTTCTGGAAGCAGTTGGAAGATGGTGTACATAACATTCCATGTCACCTGCCACGCATGCAAACCAAACGTCCGTTTGTGCCTTTTGGACGGAAAGGACTCCTATGGTCCTTTTGAAAGAATTATAGGACCAATTTGACATTTTTTTAAGATAAATGACCAAAATGGACCTTGGGGTAAACTTAAAGGACCAAAAAGGATATTTTGCCTTAAAAAAACTTTATGTAATAATAAAAAAATTGAAAAAGAGAGAATTTCACGGTCACCACCTTCACTCTTTCTCTCTCACCCCCTCAATTCCACTCCTCCCCCGTCGTTTCACCGTGACTCACCGGCGACTATAATTTAAAGCAAAAAAGTATCTTCGTTTATAGAAATTAAATTTCTATGCATTCTTCTATCCATCAACATTGTTCTTCTCCTCGTTCAGCTGCAAGCATAGCAACTCTTCTCAAAGCTTGCAAGAGAATCCAACATCTTCAACAAGTTCACGCTTCCATCGTTCAAAGAGGCCTCGAACAAGACCAGTTCCTCATTTCCCACTTCATTTCACTCGCCAATACTTTTCCCACTTCAGCTCTCTCGTATTCAACTACCGTCTTCGACCGTGTTCTCAATCCCTCTACTTTCCTATGGAACACTCTCATCAGAATGCATTGTCAAAAATGTTTATTTTTTGATACCCTTTCCGCTTTTATTCGTATGAAAGCTGAAGCGGCTCTCCCTGATAGATACACTTACCCTTCTGTGATTAAAGCTTGTTCTGGTACCTGTAAGGTTTTGGTGGGAAAATCGGTTCATGGGTCGGTGTTGAGATGTGGGTTGGATGGGGATGTGTTTGTGGGGACTAGTTTGATTGATATGTACGGGAAATGTGGGGAGATTGATGATGCTCGTAAGGTGTTTGATGGATTGTCTCAGAGAAATGTGGTTTCTTGGACTGCTATGGTTGTTGGGTATGTTACTGTTGGGGATGTGGTTGAGGCAAAGAGGATGTTTGATGAAATGCCATCGAGGAATGTGGCTTCGTGGAATGCTATGATTCGGGGTTTTGTTAAGGTTGGAGATTTGAGTAGTGCTAGAGGTGTGTTTGATTCTATGCCTGAGAAGAATGTAGTTTCTTTCACGACTTTGATTGATGGATATGCTAAGGCTGGTGATATGGCAGCCGCGAGGTTCTTGTTTGAACAGGCTGCGGAAAAGGATATTGTTGCTTGGTCTGCTTTGATATCGGGGTATGTCCAGAATGGTCAGGCTAATCAGGCGTTGACGGTGTTTCTTGAGATGGAATCGATGAATGTGAAGCCTGATGAGTTTATTTTGGTTGCCTTGATGTCGGCTGTGTCTAAGTTGGGTCATTTGGATTTGGCTCAATGGGTTGATTCTTATGTTGGTAAGAGCTCTATTGATCTTCAGCAAGACCATGTGATTGCAGCACTTGTGGATATGAATGCAAAGTGTGGAAACATGGAGAGGGCGTTGAAATTGTTTCAAGAAATGCCTAAGAGAGATTTAGTCTCGTATTGTTCGATGATTCAGGGGTTTTCAATTCACGGGCATGGGGAAGATGCCGTGAATCTATTTAATAGGATGCTGATGGAAGGGCTAATTCCAGATGAGGCGGCATTCACGATTGTCCTGACTGCTTGTAGTCATTCCGGGCTCGTTGATGAGGGTTGGTACTACTTCAACTCCATGGAGGAAAAGTATGGCATTAGTCCTACACCTGATCACTTTGCATGTATGGTTGATCTTCTAAGCCGGTCCGGGCAATTAAGGGATGCTTATGAACTTATAAAATCAATGCATGTGGAGCCTAATGCTGGTGCATGGGGTGCACTTTTTGGAGCATGTAAACGACAGGGTGATTCAGAGTTAGGAGAGACTGTTGCGAATCATCTTTTTGAACTTGAGCCTCTTAATGCTGCTAACTATGTGCTGTTGTCTAACATCTATGCATCGGCTGATAGATGGAAAGATGTTTCCCTTGTGAGAACTAAGATGAAGGAAAGAGGAGTGCGGAAGATACCTGGTTCCAGTAAAATTTAATCCATTGCTGAGTTATTCTGGTTCCGTGTATGAAGTTCTGAATGTACAGAACATGGAAGGCGGTATGTATTCTTTTTCTGTTGATCTGGAACCTTAGCAGTTAATCCATGGTTGTTAATTTGCAAATGAGTAAATGGTATATAAATCTATTCCCGTTTTTCACTAACTATCGCATATTAGAATTTTCACACGACTTGGACGTGAGAGGATCCATTCTCATGGAAGTTAATTTAGGCTTTCTTATGCTAATTTGGATTGAGGTTTTCATTACATTCGTGTTGTTTCCTGTGTTGAACCTGTCTTGCCTTCATGAGAAGCCCTGTCATGTATAACACTATTTATTCACAACTGAGTTTTAAATTTTTTCACTATTTTTTAGACTATAGGGTATTATGAGCTTTTGCAATTTTCAATGAAATCACTCTGTGGGCGCCAAACTGCCAAGGATTTGTATGCCCACAGGCCATTGTTGATACCCTTGCCGTTCATTATATTTTAAAAAGTGAAATTCAAAATAAGTAGTTCAAGATCAGTTTGTTACATTACATGTAGCTCTTGCATATCTCAAGCTCTCCATATTTCGAACATGTTGTTGCTCACTGTTTCAAATGTCTTGGCTGATTCTCTGTATGTTTTTGTGTTTCCTTTTAAGGTTTTCTTCCACCTCAGGTGCTTGTAATTTAACCTTTGTTATGAAGCTTCACTTGAAGCTTATTAAGACAGTGAAGCAAATGCCCAGGCAGGGTGGAAAGCGATCCTCGACAATCAATTCACAACTTCCTTGCTTATTAGACTACTGGTACCAATCCTCGCACACAAACAGAATCATTGTGTGTCTATTACCACGACAGTTATTGCAAATTTTGGAGTAAGAGGTGCCTTTCACAACCTCAACTTTTCATCATTTCCCTAGCTCCTCATTTGGATATATTAAGTAAAAGCTTTTTTTTTTTGGTGTGGAAATATTCCCCACCAATTCTAGTAGCTACTCCAGAATTTCTTAAGTGAAATGGGGTGATAATTTTTTTTAAAATTGGTTTCTTTGGTAAAAGATTTCAACAGCATTGGAGCAGCTTGATTGTTATTGTTTAAATTTCTTTCTATTGTCATCTTCTGCTGACTAATATTTTGCAATATGTTTCTCTATCTTCATTTCCTATAGATATTCTGTTTTTGTCTTTTCTGCTCTGGCACCCCAGATTTATATGGTGACGATAACACCAGATTCGTCACATATTGGACAGTGAATTCCTAATTCAAGCACCTCATTTTGTTCTTTCTTTTAATTATTCTCCAGTTTCTCATGCATTTCGTGAAGTTGTTTAATTACTTAGATAGAGTGAGGTCTATCAAGCAACTGGTCGTTATAATCTCCCTTGATCTGGCTTTATTCAAATTAACAATGATATAGGTCTGGGAGTAGGGTGGAAATAAGCCAGGCCAGGTCTTCTACGATAAAACTTTAAGGCCTGAGCCTGGCCTATGACCTATTATAGGCTTTATTTTTTGGAGCAGGCATCTTCCCGTTTTCTAACTATGCTTCTTCCAAATTGGTTATAAGCTCCCTTTTTTAATATTGTCTTTTGTTATTGGAAATTATGTAAAGAAAATATGCCCCGTACTTAATAAAAGCTAAAATGATATCAATAAATTGTTCTGTACATACACTATTTAATTGTAATATTTTAATATTGGTTTTATTATTCCCCGTGTTCTTATTTTTGCTTTTTTGTTTATTTTTCTTTTCCCGATGAAAATGATTGAATCTCTTCATGTTTGCATCTTTTGATGGCTCTATTATTTGTGTATGTCTGGTGTGCCGAATCAGTATTCTCCCCCCTTCTAATGTCATCCACTCAACTCCAAAAGAGGATGCTCAAAAACTTATGGATGAAACTGCTGAAGCTAAAGCTTATCAAGATGTGAGTTTGAGTTCACTCTTATCCTTAACTTTGCTTTATCAGTTTCCTTCTACTGCCTTTTTCTTCTCTGCTATATAATGGCATGAATTCCATGAGGAAAGAAATCCAAGAAAAGTGTAACAAAAGAGAGTAACTGGCTAACCTATCCGGCAGGAAAAATAAGAACTCTCATATTCACCCTTAAGAAGGCTATCCATAAGTAAAGAGTGCTACATAATTTACTTACATCTTTCCGTTCAATGAAACAAAATCGAATTGTTGTCCTATGGTTAATCTATGTCGGTTGAGGAGGTATCTTAAAGAGCTTTTAGACATGTTATATTCATATAAATTATAATAATTTATCTTAAAGAGCTTATAGACATGTGTTGTGGATTGAATATTTGGTGAAATGCTTGAGTTACAAAGCACTCAAGTGATTTTTTTATTGTTTACTTCTGATTTTGGTGAACAACGCTGGTCTCTTAACAAAAATTTATTGGTGAGATCGACTAAAGACTTTCAGTACAGTGTTTCAGTTTTCAAGTATTTTCACAAAGTGTATTCAAAAAGGATTCATTTAACTAGTGCCAAACGAGTTTATAAGCAATAAAGCAAAACTTGTAAAATAAAACGAAAAGCGTTCAGAAAAATGAAGGCGGAGACCCATCTCCTGGAAGACTATCATATCTTGAGCAGATCCTGCTGTCTTTTCCGGGGATATACAACGACCACTCCTCCCGGGCTCCCTCCTCGTGGAGGTAAACATCGGTGAAAACGTCTTCCCCGTGTTCATAAAAATATGACCGCCACTCCCAAGGGTCTTTAGCTACCCAATCTCGAGGATCTTCGTCATCTCGAGAAGGAAACAGTCCGCCCCGAGCCGAAAAGGTCGCCCCCATGTCGGGCTCCCCCATCTGTTGATCCGTTTGGTTTTGCTGCTCCCCAGAGATTTCCAATATGCTCGACGAGCTACCAGTAGTCTCGCTTGAAGAGCTCCTGGAGGATTCTGTAGACTCGCTCGAAATGGCAACATGTGCGTCGTCAGCCATAACACCTGAAAAGCAGAGGAAAAGGATGAGCTCGACATCAATGCAAGAACCACCCTTCCACCGCTAAACAAGTGAAAGGGTGCCGGGAGACAAGGATCATATCCCCGACCAGAACCCTCACTGAGGTACGCTAACGGGCACAAAACGCAGGAGAAAGTCCTAATCCCTCACTAAGGCACACTAACTAGTTGAAATCGCAGAAAAAACCCAGAAATCCCCTGAGGTACTCTAACGGGCATAAGTTGCAGAAAAACTCAAACTCTAACGAATCACCCATAACACAGCGCCAGACCCCCGAGGGAGCCCCACGGCGGCTCCAGCAGCCATGCGCCGCAGGAACGACGTCCGCCACCTAGAGTCTCTAACGACCTCCTCCCTAACGGAACCCTAAATCCTAACCGCATGCATATCTAAGAGGCAAAAAACGAAAGCACTAGAACATGCAACAATGGAGGAACGGAAACTCACCGATAGAAGAAGAAGAGATGAAGCTGGATGACTGCGAACGAAGAAACTGAGCAAATGCTGGTGGTCGACTGTCGAGCTAATACGAGCAGTTGAAGGAGAAGGCGAAAAATATTAATCGCCCTGTTCCTCTCGTATTTATAGCTGAAACGGCCCACGCGTACCAAACACGCGCCTTGGGAATCCCAGGATCGTCATTATGACACCCAAACCCTAGGCCATCATTTGCGCTGCTCGACCGACACGTTTCCCAAAACACGCTATCTCTCTAAGTTCAAAGGTCCCAACGGCGAACGTTTTGCCTCCCCGACAAAGAAGTATAACGGGCAAACGCTCATTTCCCCGTCCTTCGAGCAGACATCAAAGTCTTCACTCTTGTGCCCAGAAGCAACGACTTGGGGGCTACTGTTCTAGACTGGCCCGAAAGCTTGAGTGGGCCCAGTCTAAGACATCTCATAGGTGCCACTCACTGACCGTGACCAGGACTGCCCGCACCTGTCGGGCAATACCCCCTCTCTCCTCTGCCCGACTGAAGATCATCCTCCAACCACTCTCCAGGTTCTGATCAACCGCAAGATCATGTCGCAAATCCCAGCCAACAAGTTGCCTCCCAAAATGCCCTTTTCGACTGAAAAGGGTAGAAATGGACATTTTAGTCCTTGAACTGACATCATTGTAATCATGACTTTTCTCTCAAACGTCGCGTCCGCGAACAAACGACCACTATCCTACTTTTTAGCTTCAACTTCCTAGGATAAACGTGGCCCCAAACTCAACAACTTCTTCAATCAATCGCCACCTGCTTGACACGTGCTGGTCGTGTAGCCACATCTTTTCCACTTTCTTCCCAAACATTTGGTTTTCTTGATGGTATAAATACCCTTCTCATCTCTTCAATTTCCTTTTTAATGCTCTCTCTACATTCTCAAACTCTCTGTTTCAATCTCAAAGACAACTTCTTGCTTCTGTTTTTTTTTTCCAGAAAATTTTTCAATCATCCTCATGGCCACTTCAAGCCAACTTACTGAACACATTCAAACACCTGATGAAATTGAACTGGTCTCCCACATGGATGATTTCTTCGTTGATATCCAAAATACTTTCGTTTTGGAACCAACACCGTCCCGAAACCTTCTAACTTTTCGTTCTCAAGTGTTGCTGCCTTTCATCTGTAAGCAAACCGCTTATGCTCTTTTGGGACCTATTCCTGATGAAATTAGAGCACCTAAACAACTGAAAGGCTGTTTCCCCACTCATAAGGCCACAAAACCTCCCATTAACAGAGATTGCCCCATAGATTTTTCGCACATTTACCGAACTTCTAAGGTTTTCCGTTCTGCTCGTGCTGTCAACCAAGACTCCATTGCATGGTTGAACAAAGTTAAAGGTGATGTTTCGAAAGCTCAAGGCATTTTTGATTTGATTAAGCTTTCTAGGGTTGACCCCAGTTATTGCAGTTACATGCTGATTTCTGCACTTTATTTTTGGGAAGGCTCCAAAAACACCTTCCATTTTTCAACTGGTATGCTTACCCCCACCTTATTCGACATTGCGGCCATTACTAGCCTTTGTCCCACTGGTGAAGCTTTTCTTCCTACTGAAGCCGACGAAAATGTCATCCCTTTTGAAAAGGACATTGCTGGCTTCACCAAATACATGGAGCGCTTTCATGCTAAAGTTGTCGACACCGTGTCTGACGAAGAGCACATTGCTTTCTTGGCTTTGTGGCTTTTCAAGTATGTCTTTTGCAGTCGATCTTTGAAGGTAGCTAAACGGTTTATTGCATTAGCTCACCACCTCCATCTGGATCGAGACATATGCCTGAGCGAACTCATTTTGGACTCGCTCTATGAATCACTTAGCGTGGGGTCAATCATATGACCTCACTCTCTCTCCTAGTGTCAGCTATCTGCTTGCTGGACCCTTTTGGCTGCTTCAATTGTGGTTAAACGCCACTTTTGCGAGCCAACTCAAACTGCAACTTTCTAAAGCACAAGAAACTGCATTTGCTCAGCGTAAAGTCTCCGTCTTGCTGCAATGACACCCTCCAACAATGACATGACTCGAGAGGATTCGCTCGAAAAATACTTGAAATTTTCTTTAGGTGCACTTCTTTTCAGCCGAGCATGGCCCCCTTTGCTTGCAGACAACATGGTCCTTAGTGGTTCACTCGAGCATTTCCTCCTGTCAATCCTACGCAACTCCCTGAATCCAAAGCCATCTGGCAAGCTTTCTTAACCCCTAAGCTTATTGCATCCAGGGTGGGAGCTAATGATGGTGTAACACTTCTGTGTTATCAGCCTAATTTGGTGGTAGACAATTTGGTTTGTGCCAACCTCTGCCCCATAGTTTTTGTAAACCCTCCGATGAGCTGTGTCCCTGGTCCACTAGCTATAGTGAGGACGAATGTGCTCAACGTCTCCAACATTTTGCTGCTGATATCCTCACCATGAATCATGTCGCCTTTGAACCCCTCTTCTACACCACTAAGGAGTTCTATGATCGGTGGACTGTGCAATTCGTGCAAAGCAATGATACTCTCTAGTCATTCAAGGCTCGACTGAACCATGCTTTTGAAGCTATGCAGCAAAAGTTTAGGAAAGGTATGACTTACTATTTTGACTGTAAGTCGCCTTCTTATTCGCTTGCTCGCTTCTTTATGTTTTGACATTTAATGCTCTGTCTTATGTTATTGCCTCATTTAGTGGTCGAACACAGGAAACGTGCCGGAAAATCTGTCAGTGGTGCGACCGTTTCTCCTTCCACTAATGAAGTTCTTGAAACTTCTTCTCAGGTAGTTTCCTGACCTTATGGCTTATTTACTGATCGCATTCCTCATCTAACACAATGAGTATGTCAACTCACTCGTAGGCCTCTGAAGCTAATGCTGTCGTCCCTCCTGAGCCATCTCCAACGCTCTACTGGTCAAGAGAAACGAGCTGTCGACGCGCCTTCACCTGTTGTTCCTAAAAAATCCAAAAAGTCTAGGTCGACTCGCTCTGAGGCTGCTTCAAAGAAGACCACTTCTGTTGCTGTGCCTCCCACATTGGTGGCAAAAGAAAACGTCTTGCAGTCTGTACCAAATCGACCAAAGAGTACTAATTCTAGTCCCGAGGGAGACCATCAGGTACTTTCTTTTCCCAAAGACTTCTACCTTAGGAATTTCGTCCTTTTTATAACTTTGCTCTCGTTTGCCTTTACTATTTCAGCGACCAACAACTAAATCAACAAAGCGCCTCACTAAAATTGTCTTGAAGTCTTTCTAAGCTCAAAAGACCTTCAACTGTGATCTTGTCTGATACTGCTATGTTATCCAATAGAAAACAAGCATTCTGCTATGTCATTAAAAAAAATTTAAAATAAAAAATGACTTAATTGGATACATAATTGTGATTGGTTGATAATGTAAAACTAATTACAATACAAAAGATGCATCAATCATTTTCTCATATATTAAAGAAGAATATGATGGCAAAGTTTCGGTAAAAACTAATTACAATTCAAAAGATGTAAACAAGAAAAAGACAAGAGAATAATAGGTTACACAAAATAACCAAGTAAATAATTTCTCTATGATAAGAT